ACACACACACACACACACACACACACACACACACACACACACACACAGTATCTAATCTCACCCCAAAAAAGGGGGAGGGAAGACTGGAGTGAATCCTGTCATTGTGGACTGGAATCAGAAGTATATAAATAAAAATATGAAAACTGATAGGAAAGCAGTATAAATGTGGACATAAGTCATGTGCATTTAACCCTGAACAAATTTAGTGCCCAAATAGTTTTTATATCATCTTTCAATCAACAAAAGCAAGGGATCATAGAGAAACTACTAGTTACAATTCTGGAAAAATAAAAATAAAGTAGAAGTCTCAAATATCTTGTGATGTCAAACAGAAACAATTAAAAAAGTATGGGGCATGTTAAAAGGAAACACTTTAGCTAAAAGGAACTCCCAATGGTCACAGTTGCAAATCGAAAGATAAATATAGAACAAAATGGTGGGAAAAAATATCAGCAGGTGGTTCCCAACAACAGTCCCAGTACTCAAGGGACTGAGGCAGGAGGCCTGCCTGGACTACATAATGAAACATCTCAAAAAACAAAAAGTGGAATGAAAATAACTGTCATCAGACAAGCGTCATATAAATATGTACAGCAAGCAAGAATTATTGATAGATGTTTAAACTACTATGATGAAAAACAGTATTTGCATAATCTCAAAGGATCACTCTATACGATTCTTATCAGCTGCAAAGGACAAAACAGTAATAATACAATGAAGAAAATGGCACATATCACTTTAAATTTATCAAAGTTAACATAACTCCTAAAACATCAATATCGCAATTGCGTACATTTGCCTGACTCCATACAAGAAAAGGACTTTATTTCCTTTGGCATGCTTGACATATCTCAATATACTCAGTTTAATAAGGGGAAAGTTTCCCAAATCAAGATATATTGCACAAAATAACTGACATGTAATATACATTCTTTAAAAGAGCCAGGTTCATGAAAAGAGACTTCGCTATGACAAATGAAGCAAATAAAGTGGGTGGGGTATAAAGGTACCTGCCACTAAGTTCACCTGAGTTCAATCCCTGGGAGAACTCCAGCAAGAGGTCCTCCGACTTCCAGGCATGCACTGGGGCACACCCAAACAAATACATGCATGCAAATAAGCAAAAATGTAATAGAAAACTAAAAATAATAGAAATGTAGTCAAAAATCACTAGAAAAGTGAGAATGAAGTCCTGAAAGGAGCCAAACAAAGTTTCATGTTGCTGTTGCTTTTTTTTAAAACTACCACCCAGGGTCCCACAGCCTGAAATGTGTCCTGGAACGCCTCAGCTAGGGGCTTTACTGGACAAATTGAAGTAAGTTTTTCTTCTCTAATTTTAAGAATTAGTACTACTGATAGATTGGTCTGCCTCTGTCTACTCTTCAAAAAAAGACTTTCTTTCAACGAGTCTCCATCTCCCAAGTGGCCACTTGGTAGCGTAGGCTTTTTCCTTTGGGAAAGGTAAGCTCAAGTAGAGTCCCTTCATTTGTGGGTTTGGCACAATTATCTACAGGTATTATGTAATATCTCAATCCTCATTTACAGCACCAGGGAAATTTTGTTGAAAAAATAAAATATTCTGAACACAGAACAACATTATTACATGTGTTTTTCATGATTTTATCATTCCCCTAATGAGCCCTAAATATAAAAACAAACCTACCCAATCTTCCTCTCTCCTCACCCCATTCCTCACAATTAAAAAACCCTGCAAAACTGAATGTGCAAAAGATACTGCCCATCATTGAAAAGCATCCCCCAAAAACCAAAACATTCTTTCTTACAGTGCTAACTCTGCATTTTTATTACTCATCTGCCAAGCACTGGGATTACAGGTGTGCCGCTATGCCCCTTTTATGTGGGTTCTGAAAATCTGAATTGAGGTCTTCATACTTGTACATTAAGCACTGTATTGACTGGGCCATCTTCCCAGTCCCAGGCTTCCTGTTTTCACACATCTGTCTCAGTGTACTCTGTTCACACACACATCCTGCAAAAAGATCAAATTTTCTTGATGACGACAGCAGGAAGAAAGAAAAGGGAAAATCATTTACATTTTTTCAAATTTTCCAACTTTTTTGTTTTGTTTTTTGAGATAGGGTTTCTCTGTAGCTTTGGAGACTGCTCTGGAACTCTCTCTGTAGACCAGGCTGGCCTCAAATTCACAAAGATCTGCCTGCCTCTGCCTCCCAAGTGCTGGGATTAAAGGTGTGTGCCACCTCTGCCTGGCTCAAACACCCTAACTTAAAAGAATTCTGAGTTCACTTATGCAGAAAGTGGTACCAGGGAGTAGGGTGTTGCTGTGACAGGTCTAACCATACTTTTTCTGTGGAATAGGGAAGACTTTGGGACTCTGGACTAGGAAAGTGGTTGAATGCTATAAACAGGGCTTACTTACTGGGTATCCTAGTAGGAGCTTAAAAGACAACAGCACTGAGATCAATGTGGACTATGGAGGCCCCACTTTAAGAGGTTTCAGAGGTTACAATATTATCAAATGGGATAGAGACCATTCTCTATCCTGGCACATTCTTATGGCTGCATTTTGCTCTTGTCCGAAGAATATTCCTGAAGCTAAATGTAAGAGTATTGAACAAATTTAATTGGCAGAGGAGAGTTCAAGACAGTCAGATACTGACTCTGTCGCTTGTTATATGCATTCGCTCATATGTAGATCCACAATTAAAAAAAATCAAGCAAGGTAAAACGAAATACAAAATATATAGTTTAAGGAGAAAAAGCATGAGGAAATTTAATGTTGAAGCCATGGTTTGTGCTGAAAGAATCAGGAGAAATGAAATAAAAGGAGTGGTGCCCTCAGGGCAAGACCTCAGCCAGCTAATCCTGAATTAAACTTGTGAAAAGACCTAACTAAGGCAGCAGTTCTCAACCCTTTGGGGACTGAATGACCTTTTCACAGGGGTTAAACATCAGATATCCTGCATATTAGATATTACACTACGGTTCATAACAGTAGCAAAATTATAGTTATGAAGTAGCAATGAAAATAATTGTATGGCTGGGGGTTGGGGGAGTGGTCATCACAACACCAGGAACTGTATTAAAGGGTTGCAACTTTAGGAAGGTTAAGAACCACTGGCCTAAGGAATTATCTGTTCCTAAAATACAACTGCAAATCAAAGTTTATGAAAATATAACTCAAGAAGGAGCCAGGAGGCCAGGGCCCATCCCAGGTGGCAGTAGAATTTAGAGGCATCTGCCATATATCTTTTTTTTAGAGTCAAGAACAATAAAGGAATAAAGGGGTCACAGAAACAGCATCCCCCAGGGGTTAGGCAAAGCCGCTGAGGCCAGGTGTAGGGCAGGCCCAGAGAGAGCATTGTGAAAGTGAAGAATGTGCTTCAGGATAGGCCCGAAGATGGTACTGACACCAGAACTATGGGATATCTTCCAAGGACAGCTGCAAACAGAGAGTGAAACCAGCCCGAGGGAGGAATGTTGGACTCAACAAAGCTGGAAGGACACAGCCATCTAGGCCCTTCAATATCAGACACAGAACAACAAGTTCTGGAATTTGTCCTGCTAGGTTTCAACCTTGCTTGGTCCAGTATTGCCTTAGTCTGCCTCCTTTTCTCCCTTTAGAATGGTAATGTATATTTCCTGACATTGTACATCAGAAGTATGTAATTTGCTTTTTGCTTTTATCCAGAGTTATAAATTAAGAGATTGACTTGAGTCTCAGAAGAAACTGGATTTTAAACAGTCTTGAGACTCAAAGACTGTGAAGCTCTGAAGGTGAACTAATGCATTATGCTACGGCTACAGGGCTACAGGCCTATTGGCTGGGGAGCAGGATGTAGTGGCTAGAATGAGGCTGCTCCCTAAAGGTTCATGTTTGAATTCCGGGACCCCAGCTGCTAGAAGTGTTTGAGAAGGGCTAGGAGATTGGTATTGTAGGAGAAGGTGTGTCAATGGGGTAGACTCTGACGTGTCGAAAGCCCACACCATTCTCAGTTTTCTCTCAGCCCCATGGCTGTTGTCTCAACAATATGAGCTCTCAGCCTACCTGCTGCCCCACCATGATAATCACAGACCTCTGAAATTCTAAGTCTCCAACAAATTCTTTCTGTAAGCTGCTTTGGCCATGGTGCTTTGTCACAGCAGTAGAAAAGTGACTAAGACACAATACAAAGATTAAAAGAAAAGGGATAAGCCAGGCATGGTGGCAAACATCTTTATTCCCAGCAGTAGGGGAAAACAGGTTGATCTCTCTAAGTCTAAGGCCAGACTTGTCTATACAGCAAGTTCTAACACAGCCAGGGTTACAAGTGAGACCCTGTCTCAAGAGAAAAAAGTAAAAAAGTCAAGAGGTATTGCCTACATGTTTAAACGACGCATAGGGAACTGTGGTGGAGCCTGTCTCATCCAGATAATCCTCCCAGCTGAATTCTTCTACTTCTACACCAGGCCCAGGATCTGCAAAACAAAACAACAACAAAAAGTTGCATCTCGAAGTAAACGCAAGTTATATAAACAAAATTTACTATAGGACAAATTCATTGATCTTATACAAAAAAATAAATAAATAAATAAATACTTTTTGTCTTAATAGCAAGTTCCCTAAGTGCATTGACTGCCAATTTAATTCAACATAACAGTTATCTGATATACTATCATGCTGGGTGTGGTGGTTTGAGTAAGAATGGATCCCATAGGCTCATATAATTAGATGCTTGATCGTTGAGAGTAGCACTATTTGACAGGGATTAGGACATTGGAGTGGATGTGGCCTTATTGGAGGAAATGTGTCACTGGGGATGGGTTTTAGGGTTTCAAATACTCAAGTCAGACCTAGAGTCTCTTTCTCTCTTCCTGCAGCCTACTGATCGGGATGTAGAACTCTCAGCTACCTCTCTAGCACCATGACAGCCTGCATGCTGCTTTGCTTCCCACCATGACAATAATGGATTGAACCTCTGAACTGTGCACCAGCCTCAATTAAATGTTTTTCTTTTTTTTCTTTTTCTTTTTTTTAAAAAAGATTTATTTATTTATTATGTATACAACATTCTGCCTCCATGTATGCCTGCATGCCAGAAGAGGGCACCAGATCTCATTACAGATGGTTGTGAGCCACCATGTGGTTGCTGGGAATTGAACTCAGGACCTCTGGAAGAGCAAATGAGTGCTCTTAACCACTGAGCCACCTCTCCAGCCCATGTTTTTCTTTTTTGAAAATTGTTTTTATTGAGCTATATATATTTCTCCACTTCCTTCCCTTTCTCTCCCTCCCCTTCCATCCTCTTCCATGATCCCCATGTTCTCAATATACTCAGGAGATCTTGTCTTTTTCTACTTCCCATGTAGATCAGATCCATGTGTGTCTAAATGTTTTTCCTTTTGAAGAGTGGTCATGGTCATGTTTGTCTCTTCACAGCAATAGTACACTGACTAAGACACTGGGAAAGCAAGAAATATGATCCACAAATGGATCATATGAAACTAGTGTGAATATGAAACTATTCAAATTACTTTGAACTCAAATATAGTATCTAATACCAACATTTAGGATTCTTAATAGACATTTCAAATTTAAACTGTGAACCTGTTACTTGCTAGTATTTTCACTCAATCTAGAAAGTGTGAACTTAGTTTTGATCCCCCTCCTTCTTTATCAGCCCTTATATACAATCCAACAAAGCATATCCTATCTCTATTTCTCATGAAGTCCACTGCTATCTCTAGAGCAAGGTATAACCACATACCTTTACCTCCACCCATCTAAGACTGCAAAGGCTTGACAGGATCTGAGCTACCCTTCCACTTTCTATGAACCAGCTTACAACTCCCAGTGGGCATTGGACTCACATGCACAAATCCACATAATATGCATAATTTAAGATTAACCCCCAAATCTTTGGAAAGGGTGGGGACTTTGTAAAGCCCTTCCTTGACTTCCTTGACTAGTTTCCACATTACTAGAAGGGGCTACAAAGGTTGTAGAGGAGGAAAGTTATCAATAATTTTACTCAACCAAGGACCCAATAAGTTTCACTATCAACCTATGGGTTAAGATGTGCCCACTAGGGCTAGAAAGATGATGGCTCAGCAGTTAAGACCATAGGTTGCTCTTCCGCAGGACCTAGGTTCAATGCCCAACACCCACATGGCAGCTTACAACCATCTGTAACTCCAATTCCAGGGCATCTGACACCTTCACACCAAATGTGCATAAAATAAATTTAAATAAATTTTTTTAAAAAAGGATGTGCTAACCCATGACTAGTCCAACTTGAGGCCCATGCCATAAGAGGGAGCCCATGTCTGATACTGTCTGGATGGCCAAGAACCAGAGGCAGGGCAGTCCAGAGACCCAGGACACAACTAAATATAACTGGGAAAAAAAAAGTCTATGAAATCATTCCTAATCATATTCTGCTGTACTCATATATTAGCGCCCAGCCCAACTGTCATCAGAGGCACATCATTCAGCAACTGACTGGAGCAGATGCAGAGCCCCACAGCTAAACACCAGGCAGAGCCAGAAGGACCCTGAAGAAATGGATTGCAGGAGAGGAACCAGAGGGGCCAAGGATACCATGAGAACACGACCTACAGTGTGGGATTTACCTCTGTATGCTGTGATTACCATTAATGAATAAAGAAACTGCCTTGGCCTGTTGATATGGCAGAACTTAGATAGGCAGGGAAAATAAAACTGAATGCTGGAAGGAAGAAGGTAGAGTCAAAAGAGAAGTCATGGAGCCGTTACCAGAGACAGACTTGCTGAAACTTTGCTGGTAGGTCATGACCTTGTGGTGATGCACAGATTAATGGAGATGGTTTAAATTAAGATGTAAGAGTTAGCCAATGAGAAGCTAGAGCTAATGAGCTAAGAAGTGATTTAACTAATACAGTTTCTGTGTGATTATTTTGGGGCTAAGCGGTCTCACCCAACACTACAGAATCAATTAAGCAGGGATCTTAGGGGCTCACAGAGACTGAAGCTACTCACAAACACATAAAGAGTCTGTGCTGGGTCCTCTGCATAAATCTTATGGTTGCATAGCTTAGTGTGCTTGTGGGACTCCCAACAGTGGGAATGAAGGGTGTCTCTGATTCTTTTGCCTGTGCTTAGGGCCCTTTTCCTCCTACTGGGTTGCATCATCCAGCCTTGATATGAGGGTTTATGCCCAGTCTTACTGTATCTTGTTAGACCATGTTCAGTGGATATCCCTGGGCGATGGACTCTTTTTTTTTTTTAAAAGAAGGAAAACTGGAAGAGTTGTTCTGGGAGAGAGGGAAGGTAGGGGTAATGATGGCGGAAGGGAGTAGAGGAAGATGAAACTGCAGTCAGGGAGTAAAGTAATATGAGAGAAGAATAAAAAGATGTGCCCACTGGTGCACTAATGGCATGACTATTATGGGGACAGTCAATTGCTTTCTGATTGGATGTGAGGCCCTGCTCCACAGGAAGAAAATTCATACCTACTACCATAAATTTGGTCAAAAGTCCATGGCTGGGGAGATCAAATACCCTAGTAGGGAAATCTCCCTCTTTTGTTTTGCTGAATGAATATACTATGTCCATTAAATCACCTTATAAATATATTTATTTAGGCCCACAGAGTAGTGATACTATCTATCTTTTTGTTATGGATGGACATTACTTCCGAGACTCGTAACTGGCCAAAGTGCTAAAAATAAATAAATAAATGCTCAGGCCTAAATGAGGCCGAGATATTACCGACTCTGTGAGGCTGGGGGAGCAGTGGAAAGGGGAAGAACAGAGGATGCTGTGGAGTGCTGTCTTCAGGGCATGGCTGTCACATTCATGACTTCACAGTAGCTGCAATCACCATGTAAAAACCGCACAAGCCTGGGCCCAACAATGTCTGTAATGGAGGGAAAGGGGCCCAGGAGGTTCTACCCTTCCCCGAGGAGCTAGAGGCAGACAGTGGCTGATGGAGGAGGAAGAAGAGACTTATTTGTCAGTGGTGTAGTCAATGGTAAATTGCCTAAGCTGCTGTAAATAATTTCTCACCAGTGCTCTTATAAGCAAGGCTAATTAAACTCACTGGATCACCAAAAGAAGGGGTATGAAAGTAAACCGGGAACTAGTGGGAAAAAGGAGACAAGAGAATATGACCAAAGTGCAGTATATACATGTGTGAAAATTGCCATAATGAAATGAAACCTATTACTATCTATATTATATAGATATTATATCTATATTAATTATCTATAATTAATATACATGAATTAAGAAAAAAAATGTAGAAGCTGGGCAGTGGTGGTGCACACCTTTAATCCCAGTCTAGGGAAGCAGTGGCAGGCAGATCTCTGTGAGTTTGAGGCCAGCCTGGTCTACAAGAGCTAGTTCTAGGACAGGCTCCAAAGCTAAATAAAACCCTGTCTCAAAACATTAAGAAAAAAAAAAAGGAGGGGGGGAGGAGGGGGGAGGAGGAGGAGAAGGAGGAAGAAGAGGAAGAGGAAAAGGAGGAAGAGGAGGAGGAGGAGGAGGAAGGAGGAGGAGGAGGAGGAGAAGGAGAAAGAGAAGGAGAAGGAGAAGGAGAAGGAGAAGAAAACAACAAACAACGGTATGGCCACCCTGGATAACAGTATGACATCTTATCTGCATTGCTGTTTGGAAATTGCACTCAAGACTGTAGGGTGCTCAGTCCCACATACAGCATATACATCACATTGCTTCCTCCTCAGCACTCAGAGACCATGAAGTTGCAACTTCATCAAGCACAAAACCAAACTGGTCAAAACTGCAGCACAGATGCAGGAGGGGCTCACAATGCTATCAGCTGAAGATGTATTAGCAAGTAATGGCTGCTGGAGAAGAGTCAGTTTTCTTTGGCTGCAAGCCCTGAGAGGTTGCTCATGTTCTAGTAGATGCCCTAATCTGTGCACATATAGGCTAAGTGGACTCACTAGATTTTTAAAAAGGGCACAAGAACTTAAGAGGGAAAAAACAGCTAGGGGTTTTGGAAGAGTTGGAGGGGAGGGAATGACAATGAATTTGATTAAAACACACATTCACATATAAAATTCTCAAACAGAAATTAAAATAAATAAAAAAATGCACTCATTGCCACAGGAATGGAACTGAATGAGACTCTGAGGACAGAGAGACCCGGAGGAAACAAGCTCCACAGGGAGCAGAAGCCAGGAGCGAACCCTGTCCCAGGACATGGGGTGGACCACGACTGAACCAGCAACCAGATCCAGAGTGAGGGATCTCCACCACAACAGGTCCAACTCCAAGCCAGGGACTTCTGCAGGAGGAGATCCAGACCAAGATTTACAGAAACAGATCAAAGCCAGCAGCCTAGCCCAAAGTAGGCCTGAGACAGCAAACTCCAAGGGAGCAGATCAAAGCACAGGAGCACTGAGCTACCTCCAGGAACAGGGATAACCAATCCTGTGGATTGCTTCTGGACCAATATGGTATGATAGTTATATATGATAGTTAACTAGAACTGTGACATTGTCTGTACCACGAGGAACAACTATCTGAGCTTTGGATTCACTGGCACCTAGAAGATTACTCAACAGAATCTCAGACAGCCCCAACCACACCTATTAGAGGAAAGGATGAGTAGAAAAGGTAAGATCACATGCTACACCATGAAGAGCAACACAACACCAGTAAAACCTAAAGACCCTACAACAGCAAGACCTGAACAACCAAATACGGACGAACAAGAAGAAATAGATCTAAAAAATAACCTCAAGAGAATGTTTGAAATTCTTAAAGATGGAATGAGAAATTCCCTTAAAGAAATGGAGAAAAAAAACAAACAAAAAATATTGGAAGATATATCAGCAAATCACTTAAAGAAAACCAAGAAAAAGAACTCAAACATATAAAAGAAACTATTCAGGACTTGAAAACTGATATAGAAAAAAATAAAGAAAACACAATCTGAAGGAATTATAGAAACTAAATATAACCCAAGCAGCACAAACACTGAGAGAAACAATTAATAAATGGGACCTCCTGAAACTGAAAAGCTTCTGTAAAGCAAAGGACACCATCAACAAGACAAGACGACAGCCTCCAGAATGGGAAAAGATCTTCACTAACCCCAAAATATACAAAGAACTCAAAAAATTGGACACCAAAAGGTCATATAATCCAATAAAAAAAATGGAGTACAGACCTAAACAGAGAACTCTCAACAGAGGAATCTAAAATGGCTGAAAGACACTTAAGGAAATGTTCAGCATCCTTAGTCATCAGAGAAATGCAAATCAAAACAACTCTGAGATTCCATCTTACACCTGAAAGAATGGCCAAGATCAAAAACACTGATGACAACTTATGCTGGAGAGGTTGTGGGGAAAAGGGAACACTTCTGCATTGCTGGTGGGAATGCAAGGTGGTACAACCCCTTTGGATGTCAGTATGGCAATTTCTCAGAAAATTAGGAAACAACCTTCCTCAAGACCCAGTAATACCACTTTTGGGTATATGTCCAAAGGATGCTCAATTGTACCACAAGGACATGTGCTCAACTATGTTCATAGCAGCTTTGTTTGTCATAGTCAGAACCTGGAAACAACCTAAATGCCCCTCGGTTAAAGAATGGATAAGAAAAATGTGGTACATTGACACAATGGAGTACTACACAGCAGAAAAAAATAACGACAGCTTGAATTCTGAAGGAAAATGGATGGAGCTAGAAAATATTATTTTGAGTGAGGTAACCCAGACCCAGAAAGACAATTATCACATGTACTCAATCACAGGTGGTTTTTAAACATAAAGCAAAGAAAGCCAGCCTACAAACCACAATCCCAGAGAATTTAGACAATAATGCGGACACTAAGAGAGACTTACATAGATCTAATCTACATGGAAAATAGAAAGTAGAAAAAGACAAGATCTCCTGAGTAAATTGGGAGCATGGGGACCATGGGGGAGGATTGAAGGGGGGAGGGGAAAGGCAGGGAGGGGAGCAGAGAAAAATGTAGAGCTCAATAAATATCAATAAAAAAAATGTTAAGGGCTGGAGAGATGGCTCAGTGGTTAAGAGCATTGCCTGTTCTTCCAAAGGTTCTGAGTTCAATTCCCGGCAACCACATGGTGGCTCACAACCATCGGTAATGAGGTCTGGCCTGCAGACATACACACAGACAGAATAAGAGATACATAATAAATAAATAAATAATTTTTAAAAATTAAAAAATGTTAAGACAAAAAATGCATTCATTGGCATTTTTCCTCCCAAAATAGATTACTGTATCCATAATTATTGATAAAAATTTATTTGCAATAGCTAAAATTAGAAAAATCAAAATGAATGAAAACATGAGTGGTTGATATAAGTGCAATACATTCATGAAATGTGACTCATAATGCAAAGTAACAAATTGTAGCTGGCAAGATGGCTCAGGAGGCAAAGGCATTTGCTACTTGAGTTCAATCATTAGGGCTCACATGGTGGAAGACAAGAACTTACACTCCCAAGCTGTCCTCCCATCTTTACATGTAAACCATGTCATGCTCATACCACAGAAATACACATAAAAATTAAGTAATCAATTAGTGTTTAAAGTTAATAAACTTTGACATGAAAGACTGTCAACTCATCAAAATCATTTCAGGGAAAAACGTCAAATGGTCATATACTAACTTTATTCATGAGGCATCTTTAAATGGCAAAATTACAAAGATAGCAGATTAATAACTGCCTCAGATTAAAAAGTGTAGTGAGGGGGCTGGAGAGATAGCTCAGTGGTTAAAAGAGCTGACTGCTCTTCCAGAAGACCTGAGTTCAATTCCCAGCACCCCATGGTGGTTCACAACTGTCTCTAATTCCAGTTCCAGGGAACCTTATCAATGCTCATAAAACATTTTATATAACAGTTACATGACAGAAACTGAATCAAGGGGAACATGGAACCTATTAACACAATCTTTGCAACTTCCTATGAATTCAAAATATTTAAAAGCAATTATAATCAGCAAAGTACAATTATGTAGAAAATGAGGCCTGTTAACAAAACCGTTTTTTTTTTCAGCAAACAGTAGTCCCTAGTGCCAGGTCCTCTGCCAGACCCAAAAGACAGCAATGAAAACTGTATGCCTTCAAAGAGCTTCCAGTTTAGTGGTAGAAAAGACAAGTTAGACAAAGTGACACAGGCATCTGCGCTCTGGAGAGGGATTTAGCAGAACTGATACCTGCATCCAGCTGCTGCTCCCCGTTCATCTCCACAGCATATGGGCTGGCTCCTCCCCAGGCAAAGGATAGGCTGAGGTTCTGCTACGATACGACGATGATCTGAGATTTCAAGTTTCTGTTCAGTGGGCATCCAAGAATCTAAACAAAGGTGTTTTCAGAAAGTTACAAACAAGGCCAGCATTTGATTGGGTTGAGAGGAAAGAGAAAAAAAAAAATCACTTCGAGGATGTAGGATTACAGTGGTGGGGACGTGGCACCTTTTCCAAATGTGAAGTTTGTCTAATGAGTATGGATACCCAGATGTGTGTACAAGAGGACTATAACAGCCTTAACAGCTAGAGATTACAATAAATTGTAACTGAAGAGATGGCTGAACAGTTATGAACACTGACTGATGACTTCAGGACCCATGTTCAAGTCCCAGTACCCATATGGTGGTTCACAACCATCTGTAACTCCAATTTCAGGGGATCTCGATGCCTTCTGGCCTCCTTGGGCATCAGGTTCGGAAGTGGTACACAGACACACATTTAGGCAAAACGCCCATACATATAAAATAAAATAATTTAATGAAGTCTACAGTAAATTAACAAATGTATGAGCCCTAACTTTTAAACTTAGTATAATGGCTTCTATCCATAAAAATGCTAATTCTTCCATCCACTAAATCTTCAATACCGTCGGGAGGTTGTGGTTCACGTCTTTAACCATAGCACTTGGGAGGTAGAGGCAAGCGCATGTTTGTGAGTTTGAGGCCAGCCCAGCGTGGTCTACAGAGCTAGTTCCAGGACACTGTTACACAGTGAAACTCTGTTTCAAATGGGAGGGGGAAAAAAGAGAAAAGAAAAAAAAAAAGAAGAAGAACCACTTTAACACCTAAGACAATCACTACGAAATAAGTTTCAAACCCATTTATGCTTTAAAACAGCTTTACTGGCCAGGCATTGATGGCACACACCTTTATTCATAGGACTCAGTGAGAGACAGGCAGTTTGTGAGTTTGAAGCCAGCCTGGTCTACATGGCAAGTTTCAAAACAGCCAGAGCTACATACTGACAACCTGTCTAAGAAAAAAAACAAAGAAAGAAATTAAAAAGAAAAAAAAAGTTTTACTGGATTAGAATCCACACAGGAGATGTACAATCTAGTAATTTTAAATTTACAGAGGATTTAGCTATTACCATATACCAGTCTTAGAATATCTGTGTCATCCTAAAAAGAGACTTCATGCTCATGCCCACTAACCACATTAAAAGATGACCATCATCATCATGAGCTCATAGGTACAGAACAATGATCATTCCTGCCCTGGAGCCAACAGCTGGCAAGCAGCAGAACCAGACTTTTAACCAAGGAGGATATCTACATTTCATGTCCTTGATTACTGTATTAGCTCTCAAATCAAAGCAAATGATGATGACTTTGAACTCCTAATGATCCTGACTATACCTTCTGATTGGTGGGATGCATGGCTGCTATGGTTAATTCTAAGAAAGAAAATTCAAAAACTATTTATCAGGTATTTAAGGGGAAAAACCCACTAAGATATTTTAATTTGCACACTTATTCCAATTCAAAAGACGTATACTTTTAAAGTCTGCTGTTAAATATAGTCAAAGTCCAATTGTTCAGATTTACAGCTCTAACTCTGCTCCTGGCAGGTACAAGTCACTAAAAGCCGTTCTATTTTCTGTTCCTTCACTCTCAACAGTACTCAACCATCATTCCCTGCATATATCTGCTTTAGAGAGTAAATTAAACTAGTGTTCATATTTGTCAAATAAACTTGATTTCAGGATAAAAATCTTCTGCTGATTTATTAAGTTGTTTCTCCTGGTTATTTTTATTGTTGCTAATCTACTGCTACATGTCTACAAAAATTAAAAATTAAAGTCTGACAAAGTCCAGATTTTAAATCACTGACAGACAAATCTTAGTCACCTATATAAACTAAATTAAATTTGACCAAAATGTAATCTTTTCAAGATTATGTAAATTCAATTACCAATAGCAATATCTGTCTTAGCTCAAAAATTGGCACGAATAAATGCATTAAACACCTAAAATTATTTCCTCTTAAGAACAGGTTCTTCTAATGCTCAAGCACAACTGTATTTCAAGGCTTAAGTGATTCTCCTAGAAATCTTTCAAATATTATCACACTTGGCAAACAGTGAGAAAATGTTAAGGAAAACATGGCACAAGAATATAAACATGCAAAATATAGGTAGTCATTAAATGTCTTGTTTTGAGACTATGTCTCTCTATAGAGTCTGAGCTGCTCTAGAATTTATAAAGTCAGGTTTGCCTTCAACTCAGAGATCTGCCTGCTTCTGCGTCCCTAACCTCTACTGTGGTTAAAAGGCGGGCCACCACACTCAGTCATTAAAAGTGTTGTTAATGAAACATTTTTATTCTCAATCAAATTCCAAAGGAAGTGTTTTACTTTATTGATATGCTAATTCTTTAAAAGGACATGCACATCCAAAAGGTGAGAATGTAGACAGGGGCTGAGGATATAGCATAGTGATAGATCATTTGTCAAGCAGAGACACCCTGGATTTGACTCCATTAACAAGAAAACAGCAATAACAAAACAACAATAACACATACATATATGGCTTAGGGTTGGTAAAGCAATTGCATAGATGGAAGTTTCTGTAAAGATTTGTCACTCATATTGTTTTACTAAAATGCTGTTGGTCAGTAGTCAGGCAGGAAGTATAGGCGGGTCAAGTAGACTAGGAGAATTCTGGGAAGAGGAAAGGCAGAGGCACAGTCACCAGCCAGAGGCAGAAGAAGCAAGATGAGAATAAAAAAGTACCAAGCCATGTGGTTAAACACAGATAAGAATTATAGGTGAATTTAAGTTGTAAGAACTAGTTAGTAATAAGCTTGAGTTATAAATCAAACAGTTTATAACTAATATAAGCCTCTGTGTGCTTATTTTAGAATGAACAGCTGAGGGACCAGGCAAGACAGAAACTTCCATCTACAGGAATAGCCCAACTATCTCCTCAATGGATTTAAGGCCTGCTATACAGGGAGAAACACTACCTGGTACTGTAAATCTGGCCAATAATCCATGGCTGGGAAACACACACGACCCAGGGATGAACCTATTACTATTATTTTGCTAAATGAACATAATATCAACTTGCTCTCTAATTTGTATCTCTCTACTCACAGATTAGTGAAGCTCTCAGATCTCAGATCAAATCAGGAGGAATTGTGCAATGGATAGTAGTTAATGTAGAAACTCACGCCTGATCCGAGGGTCAGGTCAGGAAGTGTTAGTGGCATGCTCAGTCACAAATGCACCATCTATTCTACTTATTTTTTTTATTTTTATTTTATGGGTATGAGTGTTTTGTCTGCATATATGTGCCTGAGGACGCTAGAACAACAGAACCCTGGAATTGGGTGGGTGCTGGGAAGTGAACCTTGGTATTATTTTAAGAGAAGCAAGTGTTCATAACTCTGAGCCCGATCTCCAGTCCAAATGAGATATCAATACTACATAAAACTCTACCCCAAGGCTTAGGGACCATCAAGGAGGAGGGGAGCAAAAGACTATAAGAGCAAGAGGTCAAGAGAGGGCAAAGCAAAACTGTCTTCTGAACATGACAGAACTGCTATTCTCATGAACTCACAATAGCTGTGCCTGCACAAGATCAAGCCAGTCAACGGCCTAGCATGGAGGGAGAAATGGTTCATGAGCCCCTATCCCTGATGAGCTATGGACAGTTGATGACTTCTCTGGGAGGAAAAGTCAGTTTTCTTTAAAGATGTGGATCCTGGTAGATCAACCATGCTCCAGTGGATGGATAAGACCCAGAAATATATGGGCAGCACAAACTGGACTCTAGGGTATTTTCTTTTTTGAAGAGGAAGTTGAAATGGGTATAGAAGGGCAGGGGTGAATTTGGGAAGAGATACAGATGAAAATATGATTAAAATTATATTGTATGAAATTATCAAATTTATAAAAATATTTTTAAAAAACTACCTTGTTCTTGAATATTTACAGCAACATTATTCATAATAGATAAATGGTAAAAATTATTCAAATGTTTACCAATCAATTAATAGATCAATAAAATGTGGGGTATCTAAGACAATGAAATCTAAATCATCCACAAAAAAATAAAATACTACTACATTTTATGATGTGATATGGTGGTTTAAACAGGTATGGCCACACAGACTATTGAGTTTGAATGCTCAGCCCATAGGGAGTGACACTATTAGGAAGAGTGGCCTTGCTGGAGTAGGTGTGTCACTGTAGAGGCAGGCTTCTCAAAGCCTTATATGCTCAAACTATGTCCAGTGTGGTACACAGTCACCATCTGCTGCCTGCGGATCAAAATGCACAACTATCAGCTTCTTCTCCAGCACCATGCCCGCCTGCATGCCACCATTTCCTGCCATGATAACGGACTAAATTTCTGAAACTGTAAGCCAGCCCCAATGAAATGTTTTCCTTCTAAGAGTTCCTGTGGCCATGGTGTCTCTTCACAGCAATAGAAGACACTTGGGTACCTTAAAAATACTATAGTAAGTAAAAGAAGACAGACATAAAACCCAAATTTTGTATGTTTCCAATTATGTTCAATATCCAAGACAGGGAAACTGTCTTCACCTCTACAGGCACAGAAAGATTAATGGAGGCCAAACACCAGGGAGAGAGGTTAATGATTAACAGAGGGTGGTTTCTGTGCTTAATATTTTTTTTGATGGAACACTAAATATTTGAAAACAGGATTGTGGTAGTGATAGCTATATTACCCTGTAATAGCTGGTAATGATAGCTAAGATCCTGGTACTTCTCCGTATATTTTTTTAAGAAAAAAAAAAAAAACTCAGCCAAGCATAGTGGCACATGCCTTTAATCAGAGCAAAGTTTGAGACCGCATCGTCTACATGGTAAATTCCACAACAGCCAGAGCTACACAGTAAGACTCTATATCAAAAATATATAACAAATAAGTAAATGAAAAAAGAAAATACTCTAACTGTATACTTTGTGATTCTGTATGTACATGTGTGGGGGCCAGAGGTCAAGGGACTCTATCACCTTCCACTATTTTGTGGGGACTGGGTTCCTCCCTTCCTGTCTCTCTATCTCACCTAATATGGAACTTACTGAATTGGCTAGACTGACTGGTCAGCAAGCCCCAGAATCTCTCCTGTTTCAGCCCCTCCAGTGTAGGATTATAGGTTTATGATAATGCACTTGGCTTTCTTTTTTAATGCGGACCGTTAGGATCTGAACTCAAGTTCTTATGCTGTGTCAATCAGGTGGTTTATTGATCAAGCCTTCTCCTCAGCCCCTGTATACTTCACATAAGTGAATTTCATGACATGTAAAATACAGTTTTAGATTTTTCTTAAAAAATGGTACATATACTGAAAGGATCTATTGCTGCGGGGTATTAGCACACTATCAACCCCAAGATTGTGTTATTTACTGGAAACACCTGCCTAGTTGTACTGTTGCTGAGTGCAAGCACACACTTTTTATCCAAGAGCTTTCCACTTCAATATTGTAAATAGGATTAAATAAAGTCAACCATAGGTTAAGAGGTGGAACAAACAACCAGTTGACAGGAAAAAAACATGGAGAGTGAGGGGGAGGCAGGAGGACGGAGAGAGAGAGAGATGCACAGGAAGTAGAAGGGAGGGGCATTCAGTTTGAGATGTTGTAGGAGAAAGTTCTCTTTTGGGGACACAGAATACTGCATACATAATAAATAAATAAATAAATAAATAAATTTAAAAATAAATAAAAGTACATGAAATACATGTGTGAAAATGTTATAATAAAACTCATTAATTTGCATGTCATTTTCTAATTGAATAAAGGTAATACAGAGTGAGTATCCAATTTGTGTGTCCCTGTCTGTTTTTATATTTTAAACAGCAAATAAATATATCTTAATACATGGCAAGTTTGGCTGTACAACTTAGGATACTAGAATGTTATTAAACTTAACTACTCTGCTTAACCAATAATTGCATTTTATAAGTGAGGCCGCGGAGGCTCAGAGACATCAAACAACCATCAGTTCATGGGTTTGGGGCAGCAGGGACTGAAATTTTTCAAGTCTTTGCAGGCTCCCAGGCTTCTCTGAATCTCAGGAAAAACTAAGATGACTGTCAGGTATCATGACTGAGAACATATCAGACAACTAATTTTAACACCTAGTTAGCTAGCCCAAAGCTCTTAATTTGTACTAAGCAACTGGCAATTTTTTATTTGATACTTAAAATTAATCACAGAAGACAACCTGGAATACTAACTATGGTGGTTTGAATGACAATGCCCCCCCAACTGGCTAATGGTTAAATATTTAATCCCAGCTGGTAAGAACGGTTTAGGAAGTATGACCTTGACAGAGATGTATCACGGAGCAAGAGTTCTGAGGTTTCAAAAGACATACGCCATTCCAGTGCTCTCTCTCCCTCCTGTTCATGAGACATGAGCTCCCAGTGGTTCCTGCCACTGCCATGTCTTTGTTCTGCCATAATGGACTCCAGCCCTCTAAAAAAAAAAAATCATGAACCCTATTAAACGCTTTCATTTATAAGTTTCCTTGGTTATGTTTTTTGTGACCGCAACAGAAAACTAAGACACTGACTCAGATTATTTAACTAACTCTAAGAGTTGAGCTACAGACAGAATAAAACAGAAACCTGAAAATAAAGCCCTCTAAATGCTTTTGATATTCAAGAATGAACCTATTCAAGAAATGAACCTCAAACTAAACATACTCAGTAGACCTAATGAGTTCTAGGGATTTACTTGATTGCTTCCACATTATGAATAGCTATGGATATACTCAACTGAGCATAGGCAGCCTCTTACCTAAACAAAGAAACAAACAAACAAATAAGATGACTACTGAGAAAGAAGAGGATGGAGGGAACTGGGAACCCTCTGAATAACACAGTGAAAGACAAACTAAACAGGGTCAATTAGGGCATTTTAATTTTAAATGTTTAACCCATTACTCAGAGAACCCTTCATAAGCTATGTGTATAAATGGCTATAGATCAATGGTGGAGTACTTGCCCAAATACAAGTATTTTTCAACAGAAGCACTGCAATAAGAATAGAAGCAGGGATAGCAAGATCACCAAACAAAACCGGAAAACCAACAAGTATGTAAACTGGACAGAGAAATACAAGAAACATGAAAAAGGCAATAAGACCTTTGAAAGATCATACTCCTCAATTATCAAATAAAAGCATATTGAAATAGTTAAAATCTGAAAAAACTACTAAAAATACAAAGAAAACTTTGTTATGAGAAATAGTAAATATTTTGTATTATCCCTCCCAAACCCTAGGCCACAGCTCTAAAAGTAAAGCACCTGAAGACCGGTCACCCAGAAGCTGCTCTTGGAGCTGTAGCTCCTTGGTCTAACGTGACAAAAACATTTTCCACCTCTTCTACTGGTGGCCTTAAATGGAGACAGGACAGCCCACTCACAAAACTTGCTAATTTATAGCACTTATATTACAATGATTTGTGCTCAAACTGATAAAAGGTGATCATTATTCTACCCTCTAAATAAAAACAAACAAAACAAATCTCCTCTATAAAGAGCATTAAAAAAAAAAACAAGCAAAATACCAGATAAACCTAAAATTAGCTAAAATAGCACCTTGGGTACAATCAGTGATATAGAGTTGTCTAAACCAGGCCAGAGAAAAGATTTCTGCTGAATTTACTTTTCTACCAAAACTGAAAACTTTCATATTAAATACAACACAAGAACTATGCCACCAGATTAACAATAATAATGGACGACAGGATCCTAGTAGAGTCTGAATTTATTCAAACTGTAAGGGGCATTCGATGTGCTTATGGAAAGCATTGCTCAAAATGCAAAACAAACTCCACCTATAATGATGTGTCAGTGGCTTAATTCATATAAAAGCAACAGTTTTCTCAATTAAGACATAGTCATGATTTTCAGTACAAGGATGAAATATAAATTCTTAAAATGTTTGACCTATCTTGTATCAGCATCCGCACAAACTACAGATGCAAAATAACAAATCAATAACTGGCTGGACAGTGATGGCGCACTTCTTTAATCCCATCATTTAGGAGGCAGAGGCAGGTGGATCTCTGAGTCCCGGGCCAGCCTAGTCTACAAAGTCAGATAGCCAGGGTTATATAAAGTAATCCTGTCTGAGAAAAAAAAAAGAGGGAGTAAGGGGATATAACTGATTTAGGGTACAAGTAAAAAAATCTCTTCCTGTAAATAATCTGTACTTGACAGCCTGTTACATACCTTAGTTGTTAGTTTGCTTGCCTAGCTTACACAAAGCCATGGTTTGAATCCCCAGCACTATAAAGAGGGTGTGGTCACTTTAATCCTAGCTCTAGGGAGACAGAGACAAAAAGTAGAAATTCAGGGCCACAGTGACTTGATGCCATCTGAACTACAAGACTCTGTCCCCAAAAGGGAGAGAGAGAAAACAGTATTTTTTTTTTTTACTAAAAATATAACTTGAAATAGTAAGAGATTAGCCAGGCATATATATTGGCTCACACCTTTAATCCCAACACTTTGAGAGGCAGAGGCAGGCAGGTATTTGTGAGTTTAAGTCACTACAAAGTGACTTCCTGGACAGCCAGGGCTACATAGTAAGACTCTGCTTTAAAAAAAAAAAAAAAAAGGAGGAGGACAAAAAGAAGAAAATAGAAATAGAGTCTAGAATTGATTTTTTTAAAACTCTAATAATAGTGGTTTTAGATTACATCAATTCTTTAGACATTCTAAGAAATTATTAAAAGTTGAGTATTTTTCATATGATGCCTGTCATCAGAAGTGTTTTAAAATTCAGATTCTAGAATATTTGCATAGACTTTGCCAGTGAGCATCCCTAGTGAACAATTCAAATTAGAGATGCTCAGTGTGTATAACTAAGTACATTACTATATTTACTCTTGCCAAAATGGTCTCATCATCTTGTTACTTTGAGATAACAACCAGTTTAATTACTTCAAGAAGGAACACTATTTATTTATAAAAGATCTTCTTTAAATAAACTTCTCTAGGGTGAGGGAGAACAGAGCTGACATCTGAGTGATCGTTGCACCAAACACAGTGCAGTACGATTGTTTCACTCATCCCAACAACATCTGAAATACTCCCATTTTAGAAGCCAGGGAATGGAGAGCCAAAGAAATTGTATTACTTAATTTACACACAACACAAATTTAAAACCTAAGTCATTTCTCCATCATGCTAATCTACTGGCTATCCAAAAAAGAAACACTTTGTGAAAGGCTTTCCCCCCACAAATGGACTTCCTCATCTTCTATCATTTCCTCCCAAACACTTTATGTATGTTCTAAAGCCTCAAATACAGAAAGAAGATAGAGAACTACTTACAGAAAGCTTTTAGAACTACAACCCAATGAATCAGCTAACAAAAAGTAACGAGCACTCCTGCGCGCTGTTCCTGGTGACAGGTCTTCCTCATAAAAAGCTCTAGAGAACAATCAAACGTGAGTGTATTTTAGGCCTTGCTCAGCTACGCTACACTCTTCATAAAATCAAGGATCACCAGTGTATGCTCTGGGTTCTTTCAGCACTTGATTTTTAGACAAGTTTTCTTTCTTTAAGATTTCTCTCTCTCTCTCTCTCTCTCTCTCTCTCTCTCTCTCTCTCTCTCT